AAAATTTTCTTACACACACTGGATCTGATAAAGATATATCGGAACAAAAAGTTTTTCTGAGTGTAAAATAATGATAATTATAGCATGGTGTAAATTTTTAAATTTTTAAAAATACATATTTTTCACAGCTCCTAGAACTTAATATTTCGACTGGATCCCACAACGTACCTCTTTTCTTACGGATCTGATAAGATACTTTTCGTATGTATGTGTGTGTGTGTGTGTGTGTGTGTGGAATATTTTAGAAATACTATTAATTATTACCTTTCCGATCTTGGTCTTTTTACTACTAGTACTAACTTTTGACTCGACAATAACATTTTTCCTTTTGCTAAATTTTGGATTGACAGGTACTGAATATGAACTTTCTTGATATAATTTAATAAAATATCAATAATGTAAATATAAAATTCTGTTTTGTATCTATTATATATATGTACACACCATACTTGTTAAATATTTAAATATTAATATTTAAATACTTTTTCTGTATTTTAAATACATTTTAAATGCTTTTAGACAGAAGTATTTCAAGTATATTTCAAATACTTATTATTATATTTTGTATTTAAAAATATTAAATACAATATTTTCAAACAAGATATTTACTATGTAGTTAGGATAACTGTATATGTTATAAATCACATAAATTAAACATAACTACATTCACAATTTATTATAAGTAAAGGAATTCTGTATAAGCCTACTATTATCTTCTATATTCAATACACTTTATTAAATTAAACAAATAATTAGTTTTAAGAATTAAGAATCAGAAAATAATAAAGCTTTAAAAAATGTATTTAAAAATATTTAAAATACTTTTTGAATATATTTGTATTTGTATTTAAATATTTATTAGCAAAGGTATTTAAATAAATATTTTAATACTTTTTAATTGAAATATTTAAATACATATTTGAAATACTTTTGAAAAGTATTTTTAACAACATTGGTACACACCATGAAGAATAAAGATAAGGAGCTCGCACTCCCGTTGACAAGCGTAAATAAAACACACCCGTTTTCGTCCGCACGAAATAAGGTGGCTAAAATGCACTTTACCACGCCCCTCACGAATTTCGATTTTTTTTTTTAAAGACGTGTTTTTCAACGCTGATTTCGAAACTGTTTGAATTTTTGTGCGGAAACCATTATTTTGGAAGTTATAGCCTCCCAACGTTAACGATTTTACGTTTATACGCATGCGCGCAACACTACTATATTACCGCGCGGAGGAGCGCATCGACGAGTGCCGCTAACAAGGGATCGCCCATACTATACAACATAACTGCAACAAAAATGCAATTTTCTTAACCCTGTGACCCACTTGGGGAGGTGTTGCTCAGCAAGTCGGGGGATATTTTCGATTTTCGGAGCAGAGGTATATAGGTATATAGGTATAGTAGTGTAATGATATGCTCACACATCATTATAATAAACTAAAATCTTACATAATACTTAATAAATAATGGCCAGACTGTCGTTTGTAGAAATCGGTCACATCAAATAAAACCATTATTAACGACAACTAAGATATCGGCACCCACTCATAACGGTAAAACGCAGTGTGTGTGACTTTATTATACGATGCCGCCAGAGAAAAGGAAAAGAAAAAAAGGGTATCTGCCGCCAAAGAATAACCTAGTTCCCAAGCTCACGATAACCTTTTTGATAAAGCCGCCTACCACTATCTGGTCAGCATCGTCGCGTCGTCCCTTAAGCCAGTGCATGAGCACCATTCACAGAGTAACAACCTCCAAAAAAAGTCTAAAAAAAACCGATTTCAACGAGCGACATTCTGGACTCCTTATGTGAGCAATAATCAGTGCGTTTATTATTTCGAGTTTTATATTTAAAAAAATATTACTCTGCGTCTATTAAAATCCTTATAAAATAATTCACAATCGACTGCGAATCAGGTAAGGCAATTAATGTAATATTTTATATTAATTGCATTTATTATATTATCTGTGCATGCTTTACATACAATTGTGTTGTATAGTGTATTTGATTTAATTCTCGAAAACACGATCTCGAGAGCCCTCCGATCATCTGGAGGAAGGTAATTGCTTAGTCTTACGATTTTAATATATTTATCGACAGGCGTCGTACTTTATTTTATATCGTAATTTTTGAGTCATTACAGTAGGTACAATATACTCATTAGCTTATCTACCTGATATAATTATCATCAAGATAATTGAATGTAACAATATTTGTAATAATATACAATTTAGTTATAAAATAGCGATATTGATATAAAAATAGAACGAAGACTAATTAAAATGTGCAATTTTGTTTGTTTTTTTAAATATCCCAATTATAATGCATAGCAGTTATATTATACTATATTTAATTTTTTAAATAATCATAAGGTACTTAGTACGATAAATACGATAAAATCAGTCTGCCCGAAAGTGCAATAGCGAGTAGGTCATTTTTAAGAAATTCTTATTTTAATATATTTAAACAGTTTACTGTTATTATATCAAATTTAAATCTTTTAAAAATTTTAAAAATATTTAATTGCGAAACCTCCTTGAAAATTAATGAGGATATTATTATTCTACTCCAAGAGTGGAATTTAATTCCATAACGTGGAGAATACAAATGCCCTCGTGGTCATAATTTAAAACTAGTGTCACGGAATGATTCTATTGATGGCTTTGTTTGGAGGTAAGTACCTATCTGGCTATCTAGTAAGGACGTTCTAAATCGATCCTTTTTTAACTCAGGTGCCGTGAGAAATGTTCGGTTAGGAATCAAAAAGCTACTAAGTGTAACTATCAGGTATCGATGAGGAAAAATACATTTTTCGAAAAGTCACGCCTTTCAATATTTAAGATAGTTGCGTTGTCTTATTTGTGCCTCCAACACACCACGCAGTCATTCATTATGAGTGAGTTAGAAATTAGCCGTCATACTATTGTTGATTGGTCAAATTTCTGTCGAGAAGTTATGTATGATGGACTAGTTGCTCATAAAGTTAAAATCGGTGGAGTGGGTGTTGAAGTGGAAATTGACGAAAGTAAATTTGGAAAGCGGAAATACCATAGGGGGCACGCAGTTGAAGGTCAGTGGGTATTTGGAGGTGTCGAGCGAGGGACCAATAAATGTTTTCTTGTCCCAGTGGAGAAAAGAGATAAAACGACATTACTCAACATTATAAAAGAGTGGATTTTACCAGGGACAACGATCATTTCTGACTGTTGGAAGGTAATTATTTAAAATTTAATAAATTTAATATTTTTTAATACTTATATATATTAGTCATACGACTGTTTGAATGACGAGGGATATGTGCATTTTAAGGTTAATCATAGTATTAATTTTAAAGATCCCGAAACTCAGCAGCATACAAATACAATTGAAGGCCTTTGGAGACATGCCAAATTTTCACTACCTCAATATCATAGGAAGAAAGATTTTATAGGAGGATATCTCGCCAAACACATGTTTTTAAAACAAACTAAAAATAAAAATGACGCCTTAATAGAGTTTTTCAAATTAGCTGGACATTTGTACAACGCAAATGTCCCAATTAATGTTGAGCAAAACTCAAGTGATACAGATGATAATGAAGAAACAGATGAAGAAACTGATGATAATATTGTTTATTAAATATTTAACATTGTGTATAAGTACAATATACAATAAAATAAAAAAATTGAATTTCCACTTTAAAATTATTGTCCCCGTAAAAAGAATTATAATAGGTTATACACGCTCCGCACGGCGGCAATGCATAGTGGTGTTGAGCGCATGCGTATAAACGTAAAATCGCAAACTTTGGAAGGCTATAACTTCCAAAATAATGGTTTCCGCACAAAAATTCAAACAGTTTCGAAATCAGCGTTGAATAACATGTCTTTTTTTTTAAAAAAAAAATCGAAATTCGTGAGGTAAAGTGGTAAAGTGCATTTGTTCCAATAAGGTTAACGATATCGCCACTAAGTCGCAAGTCCTTCGATGGTTATACTACATATTATTATTTATGGTCAGTACGATTATAAACTATTATTTTAAATTATTAAATTACAAATACTAATATTTATAAGTAGTGAGAGGTAAATAATATTTAAAAATGAGTTGTTTGGTACCGGGATGTGTCTCTGGTTATCCAAAAACAAAAATGTTAAACAAAAAAAATGGAGTGAAAAATGTGTCTGTTTTTAAACCAAAGGTAATTATTCATTTTTTATTAAATATATATTTTGAACTTCCTTTGTAATACACATGTGTCTATATTAATTATTTAAACCGAAATTGTTTATAGAACGAAGAAGAAAGAATAATATGGAATAAATCAATACCTAGGGCAGATAGAACATTGAAAATGTCTAACTATGTTTGTGAGTTACACTTCCAACCTGGGTGTGTGGATAAAACATATACAACTGTATTATCAGATGGTTCATTATTCACTATGGATAGAGGTATACCATTATTAAAATCTGGTTCAGTTCCAACAATTTTTCCAAATCTGCCAAAATACCTATCACATACAATTAAAAAAAGAAAATCTCCAAAGAAAAGATTTTTAAGTGCTCAAAAACAACAAAAACCAATTCAATTTGAACCTAACAGTACTAGTCAAAATAACTTTGAGAATATAACTGTAATTGCCAGTGAGCCATTTTCAACAGATGAGACACCTTTGATTTCTTTAACATTTGATGATCTTAGAAATGGATTAAAATGTTTGAACCTGCCAAATAGTTCATGGGCATATTGCTGTACTGCTTTACACTGAATATTTTCACGTTGGAAGGAAATAAAAAATGATATAATTGTAGCTGTTGGAATTAAATTAAATCTTAAGGTAACAAATTATATTTATCTTATTTTTATTGTATATCTAGGTACTGATATAGTGGCGGCTTAAACTCTAGTATTCTTTTACAAGCTGCCCCTGTCTACTGATGTATTTAAATTAGATAGTATTGAATATTTAAAACATTTACCATCGTTATTTTTTCTCATTTATAATTGCTCTTTTAACTTTCATACGAGGTGTGTTCAAAAAGTACCCGGAATTTCCGTTTTTTCAAAAAAATATTTATTTGTTCGTCTACATCAATGTGGTCCCCTTCAAAATAGTCCCCCCCAGATATAATACACTTATGCCAGCGTTTTTTCCAATCTTCGAAGCACTCTTGATATTCACTTTTTGGCATGTCCTTGAGCACTCTCAGCGATTCGGCTTTTATTTCTTCAATCGAGGAAAAACGCCGTCCTTTCATGGGTCTTTTCAACTTTGGGAACAGGAAAAAATCACACGGAGCCATATCTGGTGAATATGGAGGTTGGGGCATGACTACGGTATTGTTTTTGGCCAAAAAATTACGAACAAGCAACGACGAATGAGCAGGTGCGTTATCGTGGTGCAAAAGCCATGAATTGTTTTTCCATAAATCGGGGCGTTTTTTTCGGATTGCTTCACGCAAACGTCGCATAACTTCAAGGTAATACTCCTTATTAACCGTACGACCTTGTGGTAAGAACTCTTGATGTACTATGCCATTAAAATCGAAGAAAACCTAACCTAACCGTAAGCATAACCTTGACATTTGATCGAACTTGACGTGCTTTTTTCGCTCTTGGTGACGTTGAATGCTTCCAGGTGGATGATTGTGCTTTGGTTTCGACATCATAACCGTACACCCAGGTTTCATCACCAGTTATGACCCTTTCAAGTAAACTTGGATCGTCGTTGACGTCATTTAGCAGCTCCTGAGCGATGTTCATGCGATTGTTTTTTTGGTCAAAATTCAGCAGTTTTGGAATGAATTTTGCTGCCACTCGTTTCATGCCCAAAACATTTGAAAAAATGTTATGACATGAACCAATCGATATGCCAACTTCATCAGCAACTTCTCTAATTGTGATTCGGCGATCATTCATAACCATTTTTTCCACTTTTTTCACATTTTCATCGATTATTGACGTGCTGGGTCGACCGGAGCGTTCGTCATCTTCAACGTCTTCGCGGCCATCTTGGAAACGCTTATACCACTCGTAAACACTTGTTTTTTTCATAGCAGACTCACCATAGGCTTTTTGTAACATTTCACATACTTTGTTACATTTTATTTCATTTTTTACGCAAAATTTAATGCAAATTCTTTGACTCTTCAATTCTTCCATTGTTTAAACAAGCAAAAATCGCCGAGCTCATAAACACACGTCGTACCTTAGCGACTACCACAGACAAAGTCAACAGTGATTATAGCTGAAAATGTTATCATACTTTAGGGGCATGTATACCAACACAATAAAAAAAAATTTTGACAATCGGACTCTCCAGACCCATTAAAATAAAAGAGCAGAAAAAGAGAGAGAGCAATTCGAAAACACTTATTTTGCTGTACGGGCGGAGTTGCAACAGATTATAAATGCAGAGAAAAGTCAAAATACATCTATAAATAATTCATCAAGTATCACAACTATGGGGCATGCACGAGGAGCCTGCCTACCACCGATCTCGCTACCAAGCTTTAATGGTAACATCCAGGAATGGGAGTCATATTTTGATTGTTTTAAGGCTATGGTGCACAATGATGACAATTGTCCAGCAGCACAAAAATTCTCGCATCTTAGGTCTACTCTGAGTGGTCAAGCTCTAGACGTCATTAAGGGTCTACCTATGACTGAAAATAATTATAAAGTGGCAATCGAAAAATTGCAACAGCGGTATGACAACAGGAGTTTAGTTATACAGTCACACATACGCGCAATTCTGGACTTTCAAGTTGAGTCAGCCGCAGGTATGCAGTTGCAAACGCTACATTCAAACGTTTCAGCGCACGTTGCTGCTCTTGCAGCTCTGGATCAGCCCATTCAGCATTGGGATGCTTGGCTCGTGACAGTGGTTCTAAGAAAGTTAGATCAGTCCACGAGTCAAGACTGGCAGCTTCGGCGCACCAACACAGAACTGCCAAGGTACGCTGAGTTAGAAAGTTTTTTAACGAACAGGTGCATCGCGTTAGAATCAACTGAAAGGTTATTTGTAAGCTCTGAAAGAGATACAGATAGTCATTCAGCAAATGATCTCAAAATGAAAAAATCCCACCAGAGCAACAATTCAAAAAAAGGTCTTTTCATATCAACCGAAAGAGCCATAAAATGTCCATGCTGTTCTGATGAGCATAAATTATATGCGTGCAATAAATTCAAGCAATTGTCAGTAGGTGATCGTGTGACATTCGTAAGAGACTCGAGGTTATGTTTTAATTGTTTGAACCCGAATCATATGGCGACCGTGTGCCGATCTACCTATAGTTGTCGAATATGCAAGCGCAACCATAACACGTTATTGCACTTTGAGAAATCAACAGGCTCGACAGAAAGAGTTGAAGGCCAAGTCCAGCAGCTAGACGCACAAAAACAATCCAACTCGTCACAAGATTCTAATATTTCAGCAGCTGCTTCATTCGTGGATGGATCGGAGCAAGGATACGTGTTTTTGTCTACCGCGCTGATTCTGGCCGGAGACAGATCTGGAAATCAGAAGAAGTGCAGAGCAGTTTTGGACAGTGGCTCGCAAGTAAATTTCATTTCTGGAAACTTAGCAAATAAATTACAACTACAATCCAAAAAGTCATCGCTTCCGGTGAGTAGAATTGGAGAAAGCCGGGTCCAAGCATTGTCGTACGTTGAAGTTTCAATTCAGTCAAGATTAAGAAATTATAGAGTGAAACTAGTATGCTATGTTCTACCAACAATTGTCAGCAAACTACCAGCATGTCCAAATCCACCAAGGGGTTGGCAGATCCCAGAGGAATTACTATCTGATTTAGCAGATCCTTATTTTTACAACCCTGGTGCTGTAGACCTGCTAATCGGCGGGGGAGTATTTTTTGACATAACTTCAACTACAACTGTACGAAGACCATCAAATGTAAAAAATATATGTTTGAACGACAGTCAATTTGGGTGGCTAGTCACTGGTGAGCTAGGGACGGTGTGCTTAGCAGGAATTCGTACGGTAGGAGAATCGCTAGAAGATAATTGGAGAGCGATAACTGAAAGTGAGGAGACATGCTTTGGACGCTTATCTAAGGCAAACCAACGTTCGCAGGAAGAGGAAGAAACACTTCAACATTTCCGTGATACATTTCAGCGGGACCAAGATGGTCGATTTGTTTTACGTTTGCCAAAAAAAGAAGAACACAGAAGTTTGGGAAACAGTATAGCAATGGCAACCTCAAGATTTATAAACATCGAAAGAAGACTACAGCGTGATGATCACTTGCGAAAAGAGTACATCAATTTCATGACAGAGTATATAAACATGGGCCATATGCACGAAGTGATCGCTTCACAGGACGCTTGTTATTTGCCACATCACCCAGTCATAAAAACATCCAGCCTAACCACTAAGACTAGAGTGGTCTTTGATGCTTCCGCCAGAACTTCGAGCGGCACCTCACTCAATGACGTGTTGAAGCGCGGTCCGACTGTACAAGAAGACATTTTTTCCATTATGACAAGATTTCGGAAACATCAATATGTATTGACAGCCGACATTGAAAAAATGTTCCGGCAGATTATGATCGCAGAGGAAGATCGGCATTTACAACAGATACTTTGGCGTGATCATCCTCATGAAGCACTTCGGGCATACGCTTTAGCTACTGTAACGTATGGAACAACACCGGCTTCCTTCATGGCAACGCAATGCCTTGTGGTGCTCGGAGAGGAGGCAAGGAAGAGGAGCCCCAAGATTGCGGAAGTCATTTTACGTGACTTTTACATGGACGATCTGATGACTGGCTGTGACACTGAGGATGAATGTATGCAATTGCATGAAGGCATAGCCAGTCTAACCTTCATGGCCCGACGAGGAAAATGTGCCAAGATCTACAGTGACAATGGCACAAATTTTGTGGGAACCCAGAAGGAACTCGTATCGATGATGAGAAAAACTAGTGACCAAGTTTTAAAAGAAGGTATCGAATGGCATTTCAACCCTCCCTCAGCGCCACATTTTGGAGGTCTTTGGGAGAGTGCAGTAAAGAGCACCGAGCATCATTTAAAAAGAGTAATGGGGGAACACAAACTTACGAGCACAGAGTTACGTACTCTCCTTTGCCAAATAGAAGCTTGCTTAAACTCAAGACCTATTACTCCGCTTAGCAGTGATCCATCCGAGATTGAAGCTTTAACACCGGCTCATTTCCTAATCGGAGGCCCAATGCTGATTCCAGATGAACCAGACATCTCTGGGGCACCGACAAACGGGCTTAAGCGTTGGAAGTTGGTACAGAACCTCATGCAAACCTTCTGGAATCGCTGGTCAAAAGAGTACTTTCCACAAGTGCAAGCTCACGGAAAGTGGACAAGCAAAGGAACCCAACTAAAAAAGGGAGACGTAGTGATCATCAAGGACGACTGCCTACCCCCCACCAGATGGAAGTTAGGCTTAGTGATCGAAACTCATCCGGGAGTTGATGGATTGACACGGGTAGTGACCTTAAGGACAGCAACTGGAGCTCAAATGCGCCGAGCAACTGTGAAGTTGTGCCGCTTACCAGTGCAGGAAGAGCATGATTTGGTTGAAAATAAATAACTTTTCAACGGGGGGAGAATGTTGAGACCCGAATGCGCGATGACATTCCCCACCGGCCGCATCACACACGCACACAGCACAAATTATTGTATATTTTATTTTTCTATGTAAATTGTGTCGTCCGTGCATTATTATGTAATATAAATGTGATAAATGTAGATAAGTGAATTATGTAATGCGCCCGCCGACGCCTCGCCGTCTGGAAGAGTAACACAGCCGCCGCAGTCCAGTTTCGCGCACCGGTGTCAACGCAGATTTAAAATTATATTGCTGTTACGTGCGCAAATCGCCGTTTTCGGTATATTTTTTCATATATTGTATTTCATTTGTGGGCGCGAATCGCCAGAAAGCCTTTATATTGTATTATCTGAGAGCGCGAAATCACCACAATTTCGTATATTGTTTTTCGTATTATATTAATTTATAGTGTGCGCGCTAATCGGCGCTAACACGTGACTACGCGAGTCGTCATATATTGTTGTGATTTTGAAGCTGTGCTAGCAAATCGCCGCGGGCATAATATCATTATTTTGTAACAAAGGCCAAATCGACGGAGACTTAGTATTGTATTTCTTGTAAGCACAATTCGTGCATTTTTATTGTATTATTTTTAGTGTGTGCCAATCGCAATCATTGTGTGTTTTGTACGTGTGTGAATCACCGTATTGTTATTAATTGATTGTTTCTGTGTGTTGTGGTATCACCCGTATTGGATAATACGCGGTAAACCAACTTTATACCTTACCCTCGTACGCTCTAGGCTAATGACTGTCTCTAGAATAAATTCAGATTAGCACTGTTAACCTTTGAGGTACGATGGTAGCGTTTTGTCAGTTCTTCGTTCGTTTCCTAAATTGGAATGACTATTAGGACGCCACAACCAGAGCACTGTTCAGTTTGTAATAAACCTCATTGACTATAGGTGTGTGGGTCTGAGCACTGTTCCAATATTAAAGGTAAGAACGAAGAAGACTTTGAAATAAAACTCAACTCGGGTTTTTAGGTCGGAAACACTTTTATTATATTTAAATAACAAACACAAAATAAAATATACTTGGCGAATTCAGATCGCTTAGCCACAGTACCTACGTCCTCGCCGATTCACTCAGCGACAACGGGACTCTCTCGTCGTGCCTGCGCGTGCGGCGGTGTTATATAGTAATCTTATCGCTGTCTCAGCACATATGCTTCACTGACCTATGTCAATAGTTTACAATTTAAAATGTTCCCACCTCTATTACATATATGAAATAATATTTTGACGACTGTCTACAATATACGACAGTGTCAACTACCAAATTATTTTATATAGGATAGGTAGCAGCTGGCCAGCCGTGCACCGTCCAAATTGTGAGTTTTTATTATTTATTATTATATTTATATACCAGCCATAGCTCAAATAGCTGGCACATTATTATTATTATTATATCTTGTTGGGCCAGAAGGGCCTCAATATTATTAGTCATATTTTTTATACCTATTGTGTTGCTGTGATTTTTTATATATTTGTGTCATTATTCTTGTGTATTATACAGCAACAGCAACTCATTACTAAAAACCGTGTTACCATTTTAGA